CTTATTTTAAAAAATGTTATGATCATCATAAGTCCTGGGATTCTGTCTGTAACATATATCGTCAAGCAATGTCTCTGGAGCTTATGTGGCCTTATGTAAAAAATCATTCTAATCCATCAGTTGAAGGATACATAGTGTGGGCTAAAGGACAACAGGATCCAATTTATCAAATAAAGTATGAACAGGTGGGAAATTTTAATATTATTTGTTAATTAAATACATAGACTTATTGGATTAAACATTAATAGTTTATAAAAATTGCATAATAGACATTTTATTATTTGCAAGCCATTATCAATTATAGAACAGCTGTAAGAACTAATCGTCCTTTATTAAAAAGTGCTGCAAGAAGAGCCTTTTCTCCAATTTGGTCAGCTCGTCGCCATCCAATTTATCAATTAATTGAAGTTGCAGATGAAGTACAATTAATGCAACTTCATCCAAGTATACGTGATTTGGTGGAGAAATATTGTGTATTATCCAGATCAGGATTGTTTAACCAGCATCAAGGGTTAGATGCAATTTTAGAAGAAGTGAACAAGACATTAAAATCTTTAATACCTCCTGTGCCACAACTACATCATTGGAAAATTGCTGCTCGTAACTTAAAAAAATTTTTTCAGGTAATAAAATTTATTATATATATTTATCCAATTTATAATAAATTTAACTGTGAACCAATTTAAATTTAAATATATATATTTATTAATTTATAATAAATTTAGCTGCGAACCAATTTATTTAAAACAATTGGATATAAAGATGTTCATTCCAATGCTCCAAGAACTCGTCCTGAATCAAGTACAGAATGTCAAAGATTTAGAGTTCAATTAAGAAATCTTGATTTTGTTAATCCAACAAAAATAACATCTATGTATAAAAGCCTGGTTGATGAAAATGAATTGAGTGAACAGTTGAAAAATTTTAGCAATTTAGCAAAAAAGGCTAGAGAAAATTATATTGTGGAAGTATTCTACAATAAAAATACAACTTATTTATCTAAGCCTATTCCAATAACCAAAGAAGAAGCAATTGCCCAGGTAAGTGAATCAAAAATGACAAAACAAGAACTTATCATCAAGTTGGAATCTTTCCTTGAACTAATGGGTGAAAACTGTCGATGCAAATATCGTGGATTTAGATCAAAAAACAAAAGTGATTTGTTAATTATATTACAAGAGGTAAGATGTTTATTTAATGAAGAAAATGAAATTAATGATTTGGTTTTTGTAGAAAGTTCAATTTAAATAGTGTGATAAATAAAATGGATTTATCAAAGTGCTGTCCAATCATATAGTAATAGTATGTTAGAAATGTGTCCTAACCTTTTTCATTTTATTAATACTTTATATTTGTAATTTTTTACATTCGCATTTATTAATTTTATTTAATTAAATTAATGGAACAAACATAATTAATTAGTTTCAAAAAAGATAATGTCACTTTTTGATCTAGCAAATTAATTTTTCTAACTAATGGGCAATTAACTGTTAATTTAAATAATTAAATAATTCTTCTATATTGATAATTCAGAGCCAAGATTTAATTAATAAATTTCAAATTTGACAAATATTATTTTGCAATAAACATTTTCATAATTTAATAATAAAATAAAGTAATTTTTTTTTGTTTAATAAAACACTTTTGTAGTCGGAAATTAAACAGTATCCATTTGGTTATCAGGGTTGGTATAGAACTCTGAGGTTTTGTAATTTGGTTTTGATTACTTGCTTTGGTAGAAAGCAATAGTTTAATTGTTGGTTTTGTAAATGTTTTTGTTTAATTTTTTGTATATGGGTTTATTTGTTTAAGTGTAAATGTAAGGTATGTAAGGTGTTGAGACTGAATGGCAAAAGTATTAAGTGTTGACAAGTTATTATTGATTAACCATTTATACAAAGGGTTAACAGTTATTAACCAAAGTCATTATCGCATATTGTATTGTGTTGTGTTAAATTGATTATTGTGAGACTTCAATCAGCAAAGAAAAGCAAAGTATTCATAACTTGCTTTGTGTATTTTTTTTTTAAAAAATTAAATTTGCTTGTGTTACTTTTGAAGAAAATTATTTCTAGAAAATTTTGATAAAACATTCCTTACTATAAAAGGAGGGATCAACATCAATCCATTTATGGTAAAAACCCTGACTGCATTATGAAAAAGATTTTTTTGTTATTACACAACATCGACTTGATTAGTAAAATAATGACTTTTTATATCACCAGAGTTATTCAATTATTTTCACTGATCATCAGGTGAAGCAATACTTTTTTCCAGTAACTGTAATATATAATAAAATATAGTACTTACATTCAGTGTTGGCAAATCTGTCCAAATGTCCAATTTGTCCAATTTGTGTCCAATATTTGGATCCAAATGTCCAATTAGTATTTGGAATTGGACATGGTGTAACAAAGCCACATTGGCATATTGGACTGTCCAATATGCTAACACTCTCATCAATGAAAATTTTAATAAGAAAAATTATTCAATTTTTATAAAAAGCAATATAACTTTTATTTATAATTAAAATTAAAAATTTTTAATTAACAAAATCAAGTAATAAAAAGAAGATAATTTTTCATCTACCAGAGATTGATATCTAAAGGTTTAAATAAATCTTTTATAGCCCATTTAGCATCCTTATTGTTAGCAGGATGTTCTGTTTCTCCTACCAAGTCAAAAACATCTTCTGCTGGCAAGAATATGAAATTAGAAATATTTTCATCTTCAATTGCAGCTCTTTCTTCTTGTATCATTCTTTCACAGGTCCTAAAATAAGCTTCTATTTCTTCATTAGTAGTTATAGTTTTAGTAATGGTATCACCATCTTTGATATCTTCTTCACCTAAAATTCCATCATTTTCATTACTTGAGATTGTAATGTTATTATGATCATTACCATTTCTGTTATCATTATTGTTATGATCCAAAATGGTGCAATCATCATTTTCATCTGATGGTAATGGTAATGATGTATGATGATGTGAAAATTTTTTCTTTTCTTGTTTAGTATTGAAATGAATGGTTGCTCTCAGTTGTGCCATGGTTAAGACCTTTTGAAGCTAAAAAATTTTATAAAATATCAGAATTCTGTTGGCTCAGTTGGTCAATAAAATATAATAAGTATAGACAGTAACCTTTAATTTATTTCTCCTTATGTTATGTAAGAATCCCATCAACGACCACAATCTCTCTACAGAAGCAGAGTTTGTGCAAATTCCATAAAGCCTAATTGCAACTGGTCCTAATTCTGTTGCATGTGTAGAAAAATAACTCCAAAATTGTTTAACATCTTTGGAAAGCATAGAATAGTATGGTTCTGAAAATGGAAATTTTTTTCTTCAGAAGTTTTCAATTTCTAATAATAAATTATGAGGCCTCTTTTTAAACCATACAACATAATAATAGGCAATCCATCTTCCTAAATCAACCCAAGTTAAATTTGGAATTGAATCATTAAATGTTGTATCTTTTAAAGTAGGGTGAAGGAAAATTGAAATAATCAATAAAGTCTGCTCCCAACTATTCCATCTTTTTTCAATTCTATTTATCATACGAGCTGCAAACTCTTGATCATGATGATTTTTGTATATTTGGACAAAATAACCAAATGACAATATAACATCATGTAATTGTGCCTTATCTGCCTGTAATTTATCCAAACATCTTGCAAAAGGTTCCATAAGATCTTTAAGTTCTTCTACATCTTCCCACCACTCTTCATTACTAATAATCTGACACAAATTATCAGAAAGTACAAAGGATCTTTCATTAGTTCTCAAATTTCTTGTGGCTTGATATTTGGTTACTAATGTCTAGTTGTAAAAAAAAACTTTGTTATAAATATTGATCGTAAATTAAATAAACTATTAATGAGCAAAAAAAAAAAATCAACCTTCAAAGCTCCTTTGGATCTCAACAAACTTACATAGCAATCATAATTTGAGTTCCATCGAGTATCATTTGGTGATACTAAACCATATGTATTCCTATACAAATCCATTTGTTCATCACGAAGTCTTTTTATCCAATATGCATGATTAACATTATTAAAATAACTTGCAATAGCTACTGCATCTTTTGCAACAAGTTTCATCCTGTATGATTCCTTAAATATTTCACCAATGCATAAATTTACTTGGTGTGCAAAGCAAGGGATGAACACCTTATCTGTATGTTGAACATGTAGTTGACGTCTGAAAAATATAAAAAAAATAAAATAAAATTAAGATATTTAGCATATAATTTTTTTTTGTTATATATAATAAATTAAAAATATATTATTTAGTTTACAAATATAAATATTTACCTAGCTGCTGCATATTCTGCTGCACTGTCAGTAACTACAGCATTTATCATTATATTTTTTGACTGTAAATCTTCAAAAATCAATGTAATATGTTGGAGGACTTCTTGAGTACGACTTCTCTCACCACTAATATCATAAGCATTCCATACTAGTGTTTCACCTTCATTTGTAATTAATATTACACCAAGTATTTTTTCATTGACAACATTCAACCAACCATCCAATGCAACTGTCACACCATATTCAGAGTTAGATGCTTGTTCTTTTATCCAACTATTATGTTTAAGAGATGCATCATTCAAAATTCTTCCAGAAAGAGCCTTCCTATTTGGAAGTCTTATATTTGGATTCAACCATCTGAAAAGGGACTTTACTTCTTCGCTTTCAATCCACCTGAAAGCCAAACCATTAGATACAGTTATACGAAGTAAGTGATCCTCTAATATTGATTCTTCAGATTTTGTAGGAGTACATAGCATAAATCTTTCAATATTATATTTATTAATATTATTGCTTTGAAAAGAGCCCAAAGACAAATTTGTGATATTTTTATTTAGTGACGTTGATGTTGATGTTGATGTTGATGTTGACATTGATGCAGATGTATTAGATGTATTGTCATTACCTGAGATAAAAACAAATAACTACTAATGAAGAAATAGAAGCTTATTTTAGGACCTGTGAAAGAATGATACAAGAAGAAAGAGCTGCAATTGAAGATGAAAATATTTCTAATTTCATATTCTTGCCAGCAGAAGATGTTTTTGACTTGGTAGGAGAAACAGAACATCCTGCTAACAATAAGGATGCTAAATGGGCTATAAAAGATTTATTTAAACCTTTAGATATCAATCTCTGGTTGATGAAAAATTATCTTCTTTTTATTACTTGATTTTGTTAATTAAAAATTTTTAATTTTAATTATAAATAAAAGTTATATTGCTTTTTATAAAAATTGAATAATTTTTCTTATTAAAATTTTCATTGATGAGAGTGTTGGCATATTGGACAATCCAATTCCAAATACTAATTGGACATTTGGATCCAAATTGGACTGTCCAATATGCCAATGTGGCTTTGTTACACCATGTCCAATTCCAAATACTAATTGGACATTTGGATCCAAATATTGGACACAAATTGGACAAATTGGACATTTGGACAGATTTGCCAACACTGGCTAAAATATTCATCATTTAAATATTTAATAATCCTATCTGCCTCAATATTTTTAGGATTATGTACTGGAATACCAT